GTAAAATAATAATATTTAGTTTACTTATTTAAGCCTTTATTAATAGTATAGTATAATACCTAACCCTGAATCTTATTATCTATATATTCCGGGATTAATAAAGTTTAATAGCCCTAGGGTAGCGAGATATAAATTAAGTATTTTACTTAGAAGATAAGCCTATATAATAACTCCTTGCCCCGCGATAAGGTATTAATCCCTAGTATCTATCTTATACTATCTATATACCCTTTACCTAGATAGGGAGATAAATTAGAGTAATTATACCTAGGTTTCCTAGAAGCCTAGCTATCTCTATACTAATCGCGAAGTCTAAGTAAGTATTATTAGCTTAGGCTAGATAATACTCCGCGGTCAATACTAGCTATTTCTAGTATTAAGCCGCGATAGCTTATTACCGGTCCGCACTAGGCATAGCCCAGACCTATTTGCCTATATAAGTAATAATCCAAAGGGGTAATTAATCGCCGAGCGGAGCTAAACTAGCTATTAAAGCTATAATAATAGTATCTCTAAATACCCTAGACTATAAAGCGCACCTAGGCGCCGGAGTTATTATTTATACTCCGAGCTACTATTAAGCGTAGTTTACTACGAGACCTATGACGGCATTATGGCGAGGCGAACTATGACTTCCCTGAACTAGTATGGCCAAATACTGTTGAACCGGCTATGGCCTGAATTGCTTGATTGATTGAGCTTGCCTAATATGGCATTATCTGACTTTCCCCTCTTTTTATCTAATGCCTTGCGCTATTCCTATTTGAGACTAGCCTTAGTCATATAACCTCCCTTTTTCCTTTCTAAGGCTTATAACCTATATCTAAAGTGCATATATATAATAGGTTCGGTTTAATATACCCCCTTAGATTAGAAATCCCTTAATAATCTAACTATCCCTAGCCTTATCCTAGAATACCTACCTTCTATATCTCTAGAGTCAATATCGCTATTTTTCTAATAGTATTTATAGCTTCTTAAGTCGGTGCGCTATACGCTTAATTATTAGTCTTATCGTTATATAATTACGAGGTTTAAAACCTTAGGATAAGTCTTATATAGTATTTTTATATCTCTTTCTTAGGCTTCCTTAATTAATCTTATGGTTTAAGATGCCTTATCGCTCTAGCCTCCTCCTAGGTAATCTTAGTATTTTAATCTCTACCTTAGACCTATTATCTAATTAGATTACTATCTAAACCTAGTGCTATAAGTAAATCCTTCCTTTAAACTTAATATATTAAGTAAATCTTTTAGTGGCCTCTTATTTATCGGGAATAAGTATTATTTAAGTCTTTTATGCCTTATACTCTAGGTCTAAGCCTCGATAGGTATATTACCTCTTCTTTTTTCTCTTTAACCTATGGGCTTTTTTTCTTACCTCTTAGGCTTATTTATTACTTCTAGCAGTAATAAGGTCTATTTAGCTTATTAATAGCTCATAAGCTTAGGTTTAGGGTCTTTTTTTTAGTTTAATCGTCCTAGAGAGATATAAGTAAGCTAACCTCTCTTTTAAGTCTCTTTATCTTTATTAAAGTCTCTTATAGAGTTCTCGCATTTCCTTATTCTCCTCTAGGCGTCTTTTCTACTAATCTATTTATCTCTCGGATAATTAATACTTCCTTAGTGCTCCTTTTAGAAAGGCAACCTAATATAACCTCATATTTAGGTATCTATACTATCTTTCGTAGAGTATATATTCCTCTAATAATCCTTAAGAGCGATAATAAGCCTTTATAGGTCTCTTTGCCTTTTTATTAAGTAGTAATAGGCTTTACTTATTATATTTGCTATTTAAGCTTTGATTTCCTATTTTGAGGCTCTTTTCTGCGGAAGGAGTATTATCTTCTATCTTATTTCTCTCTCGGTCGGTCTAAATCTCATATTAGAATTATATAGAGAAGTCTAATAGTCTATAGGTCTTATTCTTAATCTTCCTTTTATTTTATGCCTCTTTGACTTAGATAAATACTTTAAAGTAGTTATTAAGGACTTCTCTTAGGTTATTAAACTATATATTAGGGTGCTTTACTTTAGCTATTCCTCTAAGCTTTGCGATTTATATTACTTATTCTTAATTAATAATCTAATCTTCTTAGTATATTATATTACTTAAAGTTACCTTTAGTACTTTAAAATATTATTTTTAAGCTTATTTTTTTTTTAAGGTATTATTTATACTATATATAGCTTTAAGATTTAAGTAAAACCTCGATATATTATTATACTTATCTAATCTATTAGTAGTAAGGGAGTATATTTTAATATAGTATAGATTAATTTTCTTAATTATCTAATTAAGTATATTACTAATTTTATTTACTTATTTATTATAATTATATTAATCTTATTAATATAGAGTTATCTCTATTTAATATAACTTCTAGTCTTTAAGGTATAATTTATTAATTATAATCGCGGCGTATTTACCTCTTTTAAGCCTTATAGTCCCTAATCTAATCTTAGGTCCTATTTTTATAAGGTAATTAATTATTTTAGGTCTCGTTAGTATTTATATATGGTAGGTATTAAATTAGCTTAGGTTATCTAATCGACTTAGCTTATAGACCCTTTCTGCCGAGATCTTTATAATATAGGATTATTTAAAGGAGTCTTAGTTATTTAGTCTATTTAGGAGGTATATATTCTTTATATTCGCGATAAAGGCTATCTTATCGCGGCTTATATATTATTATCGAGGTTAGCTTAATCGGTTTAATGCTCATATTAATAGTTATAGCTACCTTAAAGAGAAATATAGCTCTAAGACTCTTAATTATTAAACTAGCTATGGCTTAAATTGCTTAATTAATTAAGCTTGCCTAATATAGTATTATTTGATTTTCCCCTCTTTTTATTTAATGCCTTATGTTATTCCTATTTGAGATTAGCCTTAGTCACATGACCTCCCTTTTTCCTTTCCAAGGCTCGTAACCCATATCTGAAGTGCGTGTGCATGATAGGTTCGGTTTAACAAATACTGCCCCACTCTTCTAGCCTAGGCTACGTCGAGAAAATAGTTCATGACCGCTATACTATCCTTCCCTGTATTGGCCGTGCTATTGGGGCCTTCATTGACTGTCTCTTCCTCCAACGATCATATCTCTTATCGCCAGTAAAGACGGTTGAAAGGAGCAATACGAGGGAGGGCATTATCCTTCTAAGCGATCTGATTGACCTAGAGAAGTAGAAGAAGATACATTATTAGCCAAATTATAAGGAATGTCGAGTATTCCTACCTGATTATCGGCAGTTGGGATGACCTTGAGCTCATTGAATTGGAAGCCTGACTTCCCTGCCTTATTGGCCTTTTTAGCGTCTGCAAGACCTTTATAGATGCCACAGTTAGGCCTGGCTGTGCCGGTTGCACCGTGGCCGTGCTGACGCAGGGAGCGGAAGAGGTCCGGCGACGAGAAGAGGTTATCCACGAAGACGTGATATGTCGACTCTGGCAATAGGTTAATAAGGGCAATAACGACGCTTTGGGTCGAGTTCAACGCCATGATCTTATTCCCAGCTTCTGTGATGACGTGGATAACTTCCGGTCTCCGGGTGCTATCACCCTCATGCTCTTGAAGGCTATTATCTTCATTGATAAAGCTGCTGTCATCATACGCGTTGAGAGCCTCCGCCGAGATCTCTATAGGTACCGATTGGGAAGTCATTGATCAATCCGGAAGAATTTCTATGAGGATGTAGGTGGAATCAATCAATGACGCATCATAAGGTTCCCCTCATATACCTCTCAGAAGTTGGGGCGGATGTGGGGCTCGGTACGGCCGGGAGGTTTTCCACAGCTCAAGGGATAGTCTGTCGAATGCGGTGCGGTCCGTCGTAGCGTCCCGTCGAGAGCGCGCCTCACACTTGCGGTCTGCGCCTCAACGGCCTCTAGGGCGAATGCGACTTTCTGAAGCTATAAGACATGGGGGTTGTACCTTAATCTTCTTGTCTCACACAATCTTGACCACTCTCCACTCCTGACCCTGCAAGTAGTCAGGGGGCACCCCGCGACCTGCGTGCCCAAGCCCAAAGTAACCTACCCGCCGGAAACTCCCATTTTCCAATCCAGAATCTGTCAGAACCAATCCAAGCACTTCCAGATAGCCCCACTGATTTTGCGAAGCGATCGTCAGCGTCCGACAAGGTAGAGCCGCTTCCCCATTCCTCCCACCATCAAACTGCTCCGGATCATCCCAATGCACTACCCCATGCTCCCCAACCTGCCCCCCAAAATCCGCCACATACCCCTCAACCACCAGCTCCCCCTGCACCACCGCCCCATACGTCACCCCCTCCGCTGCAAGCACCACACCACACTCCAAAATGTTGCACAGCGGCAAAATATCATAATTCCTCGGTTTAACCGCAAACTTAATGCTCCCCGTATTAGAAGCCCAGCTCCAGCTCGGTGCCTGGGGCGTAAACCGCGCCTCTCCCCCACCCGACAACGAGGCGTACCAGAGGAGGTCGAATACCAGGTGTTTGCGCCACAGGCCAGCGAGGTAATCTCCACCGCCGCCGAGGGAGGGCGCAAATTTCTCGGCCACGGCTGAGATTGCGGGGAGTTTGTCACCTTGGACGGTTAGCGCGCGGCGGGTGTAGTTTTCGATGAGGTCATGCCAGGCGCGGTAGGCGTCGGCAAGAGACTTCAGGTTCTGTTTGGTGACGTAGCCTGAACTCTCGTCCCAGTAGTATGAGTCACTGTCGTCGTCGTCAGTGCTGCGAGGGCGTTTTGGCTGTCCGCCTCGCCACTCGGTGCATGCGCATTTCCAGACAACTGCCAGGCCGCCGAATACTAGGAGTCTTGGAGCAATCCAGGACTCTTGGAGTGTCCAGGCGCGGTTGTTGATTGCCTGGCTGATGTGGCCGCCAAATTCTAGGGTTTCTGCCCGGGTGCCGACGAGGATAGTGCCGGTCTGTTTGTTGTCGACGCGCACGCACAGATGGCGTGGGCTGCGGGAGTGTAGACGGGGGTCTAGGAAACCCTCGTTGCAGGAGCTTGCGCTGCCTGCTGAGACTGTGATGAAGGAGTTTTCGTAGATGCGGAGCATCTGGGGCAGCTCCCGGTTCTTGTCCTCGGGGTCGTCCTGGATGATGCAGAGGGAGTCGACCCATATGTACCGGAGACCGAGACTCCTGGTTACTTGGAGCGCGTCGAGTATGGTCCTGGGCAGGTTCGAATAGGGGAGCGCCGTTGAGTAATCCGCGAATGAGTCCGTGACGGTTTGGAAGGGCTGTGGACCACCCCAGCAGTAGCTAAGCGTGGCATAGCGTCCAGTCTCACCCCCGGTGGTGGTGCGGAGACGCGCAGACTCGGGGTCGCCCGGCGGCGAGACCTCGACCAGTCTGGTGGGCAGCTCAACTGACTCGTTGTCGGGGCATCGCTTGTGTTTTGCAACGCACTCACTCAGCCATTGCCGCACGTTTGCGAGACGCTCTGGTGATCCGAAATCTGCAAGCGATACTCGCGGGATGGGGAGCTTCGCAGCTGGATTCTCTAGCGTGTTTTAGCAAAGTGCTGCGCTGTCAAGAGTTGTAGCAGCTTACCACGAGTCGTCCAAACATACCATTCCAATTGTTGGGGATCCCACTGGTCCTTGCGACTCAGCACGAGACGCAGCTGGCCGTCTTCTTCGTCGTACTCGAAGTGGAAGTCAAGCTCTTCGTCTTCTGGAGGCCACCATGGGGGCCGCCGCCCACTTTTGAAGTCCTCCTCGGTGAAGTCGACGGCCCCTTCTTCGTCGTGTTCGCTTGGACGACAACTCTCGTCGTTAAGGAGAATCCACTGACAGATCTCGCAACCGCCTCTGCAACCATTCTCGACGTCCTTTCGCAGTTTTTGAAAGTAGAACTCGTCGAAGCCAAAGATGGCATGATCGGCCTCATCTTCTGAACTCGCGCCAAAAAGCCGTAGCCTTCCCTTGGACGTTTGTATGTAAGATTTGCCCTTGGGCGGCGGGTTGAAGAGCCGTTGACAGGCTGTGCAGAGAGTCAGGGGAGGGAATTCGTGAATTGCGGGCATTTTGGTAGCAAGAGTAATCCGGGTCCGATGATACGTCTCCGGGTGGCAGTTGATTGCGGGCGGCGGATGAAAATATTGAGATTCGCGTCCATAATGGGGGTGTTGCGGTGCTGGGACATTCGAGATCTCGGCGAAGACGAAAGGCTGCGAGATGGGCTCAGCAGGCCACCCTAGAATTGGGGGCTCGTAACCTCCACTCCATTCTGTGCCACCCACCTGCATTGCTGCCCAACCTGCTGAGGTAAGGCAACAGTTAGTTGGCGGCCGCCAGCTGGTGCTTCCGAAGCGGAATTCGAGGCGAAGGATAATGATGGTAGGACGCCACTATTGTGTGCTGCTGCGAAGGGGCACAAGGATGTCGTCCAGGTGCTGCTCGAGAAGGCGCCAACATCGAGGCGACCACCCCACCACCCGCTTCTGAGCCCCGTTACCCTGTTATCTCCAGTCAGTAGAGCCTACTGGAAACCGCCTAAATAAAGCCATTTCGAACGTTAGATATATTCATTCTTAATTCAAGTCGATTAGTTTCCCTTAATGTTATGCCCATTTTGCCATTGACATATGCACCTACCTAGCGTCATGAGCGGTGCCTCAGGAGATTCGATCAGGAACCGTCTCACTGTGTTTGCGCCGAAATTTGCCCGCAACGTCCGGGCCTCCGCTGAGCATTGACATCTTGAACTTCATGGTTGATCAAGAATGGCTGCGTCTTCTCAAAATGGTCTGATATGACACCCGTATGCTTCTAAAAGCGCTGAGCTTTGAATTGCGGAGAAGTAGCCTCTATGTGTTTTCAGTTTCCTCTTCGTCCCTTAGTACCAGCGCTTGACTTTCCCACAGGTGAGCTCGGTCTCCCCCGTCCACACCGTAATCCGGCGTAAGTGCAATCGTTCTGGCAGAATGGTTTACGCTAATCTTGACCCAGGCTCACTCCGTTGCATTCTTCTAGTGCGCCATATAACCACACAGAAACGGGTGTGCGAGAGACGGTATAGTCTTGGGTAGATCTACCTCACGAAGGTTCTCCAGGTGAGCCACGCTACTTCGGCCGGATGCAGGTGCTTTCCTTGGCCATCCGGAAGTCGCTCTCCTGCGAGTTCCAAAGAAGTCCCTGTGCGCACTTTCGGGTGCCCTGTCCCGATCCGACGTCCGCCTTGGAGCTGTGCGATTGGGACAGGCCATCGGAAGGGAAACTGCAAAGGAGTACGTTTGAGACTAGGCCGCACCGAGGTTACGCAGTCGGGGCTTCGCGGTGTCCCTACGTCGAAGTCGAAGGTTACCCAGAACAAGCTCAATCACATATGGCGGTAGCAGGTCCTCACTCATTACAGCGGTCGGGAACACGACAGTACCTTGGAGCCAGCTATGGTGCGTCATCTACAATATAATCTCTGGGTTGAATATCTTCTCGCAGTTCAGACATCTCTGCTGGCGTAGGGTCATCGTCGAGACGTATTTAGATGACTTTGATGCAACCCAGAAAACGCAGACTAAATTCGGCACGAAGCGGCCCGGCCCCTATCGCGCCAACATCCAGGCTTTGAAATGTGGACCTTCCCACAGCCGTTCCGGAGCTCACGCGTCTTTACTTGGACGCGTGCTTCGAGATATGATTGACGGTTCCCAGCCGTCTTATCTCGTTCTGGAGGACCGAAGTACTCATACGTACCTTCAGCTGCTCAAGCATAGCCACGCCACAACCTCTATTTACATTCGATTGTCTACCGCAGATGGGGCCCCGCCGTCGCGCATCCCGAATCTGCGAGTTCCGCGACGTCGGTGCGTTAACTCTGCATCCGCCATCCATCTACTCTCTCGGCAACTCATTTCTTTCTCGCAATTCATGCAAGCTTTCCCGCATTATATCGGTTGGATGCTCAGTAGGACAGCACTAGAAAGACGCCATATCTGACTTGACCCCGCAAGCCGTTAGCGCTTATGATAGCAGTAAGCGACTCGCAGCAAACCCCTAAACTTAGGAAGCATAGCGCTAGCTTCCACACCAGAGGGGTTGGGGGTCGTCCTTGTCACGGCCTACAGAGCGTTATCGTCCATCCCGCTTTCTCGACCACTTCCGTCCTCCCACAGCGGCGTACACTTAAGCTGCAGGTCCGATAGTGTGGCACAGTGGGGTTCCACGCCCCGAACCGGACAGCCCTAGAGATAGCTAAAGGCTGCCCAGAATATTTAGCTATCACTAAGACCAACCATGGCTCTCTCGGTCCATTAACGTCGAAGAGGAACGAGAAAGGAACTAGCGAAAGCCTCGACGTTTTGATCCAATCATTCCAGCCTTCCCGCCCTAACATGTTAGCCGCCGAGCAACTTCGGCTCCTCATCGGAGTCTACTTCGTCACTTGCGTGGCTGCTAACGCCGGAGACGACTTTTCTAACAACCTATTCTCCGACCTAGCCCCATACGTGCCTCCCAGTTTATCCAGTGCAGTCCCTATCCTAACTTCGTATTATACTCAGCTTGCTGGCGCTCTTCGGAGAAAGGGTCACCATACAGTTCATGAGCCAATCCATAGGCTAGGCCGACAACATCATCCTAGTAATAGCACCGTTAGGCATAATCACCGCCATTATGGGTGCCATCCGAGTTAGCGGCCCATCGTGGCTCAAGGCTATCATCGGAAGAGCAAGGGAAACCCATGCCGTGGCCGAGTCCGAGCTAATATCGTCCACCTCGAAGGAAGTATGCGAGCTCTAGAATAGTCAGGAGATTATCAGAGTCATAGGCGAAGGGCCGATTCGGGAGTTTATTGTCTTGATGCCTGAGGGCAGTGGCGAGAATGGGGGCAAGACGACAGCGGCAACGACTCCGACCGAAGCTGGCTCGCCGTATGGAACAGGGAGTGATTCTGTCGAAGACCCCAAGGACGGCCGAAAGGCTATTCCCCAGATTTCGGTAGTGGAACTAAAAGATGCCCTGAAACAGAAAGGTGTCGAGGGCGTCAAGGACGTCAAGAAACCTTATTTAACAGAATATCATTAGTGCCCCCATCCATACTTATTAATTACCCTAATCTCACTTTATCGTCCAGGGCCGACTCTTCGAGAACGCATCTTCGGCAACCACATTCAACCACGTCACTCTATGAAGGAAACTAAGAAGAGCCCCGACAAAAACAAAGCCCAGAAGGCTCATCAGCCATGCCGTACCTCCCAGCCGGAGCCTATCGCTCGAGACGGCCATTTCGACGAGGATTTAGAGGCCCAGACGGGCTCCGACACCCGCGAAGTTCTCAAAGAATCGAATTCCAAGGCAACTCAGGAAGAGAGCCTATCGGTAGTCACTATTCGAAACACGAACGCCGATGCACCAAACCTCACCCTCAATGTTCATAATTAAGTAGGCAGGGGAGAGTTATATATGGTCGCCGCATGCGGTCTTATCCTTTAGGTTGGCGTCCTCATCTACTCCGGAATCGCCGCTAAATATCTCACGTTTATATTACTCAAGGATAGAAAACCTATCGCAGACTATGCCTTTCCCTGTATCGCAGCTAGTACGCTGCTCTTAGTAGTTAGTATACTCATCTATGCCCATATCGTCGAGAGCAGCACGTTAGAAACGAGATACTATCTGGCATCTAGGACAAGCGCCCGAGTTATCTGGCTGCAGAGATCTAGAACCGTTAACGACTAGGTCTTTGAGTCCTTTGCTATTTTCCCGAACAATGCACAGGTCCTAATTACGACGTCTCGACGAGCAAAAAGACAAAAGCTAAAAGAGCTATGCCTAACAACATCGGAAGAACCCAAGACGGAACAGCCCAAAACAGAGCAACCCAAAACGGAACAACCCAAAAAGACGAGATTAGAGCGCTTCTTAGAAACTAAGGTCGGAGAACTCATAGTTATCACCGGCTCAATGGTCAGCCTCTGCGGCTTCATCGTGCAGTTCGTCGGGTTGCGCGGAATACACTAGTCGGCCTCGGTCGTCCAACTTGGCGCAACTATCATCATAGCCATTCTCAGAGCGATTATCCGTCGGAATCTCGCGAAAAATCCAACGTGCCAGCCACTTCTTCCAGGGCACGAGATAGATTAGTTAGCAATAACTATTAAAGACTAGGCGAAAGCTCCTTAGCTACATCCCTCCAAAGTTAATAGGAATATATACCATAGACCTTAGGCAGACGACGGTAGTTAGGACTGGAGAACTGCCGCGGTTAAAGATCCGGCAGAACTTAAGAAACTAAAACCGCGCCAGGGATCAAAGAAAAAACCGCCGCAGGTAAACGATAATAGAGATAATACAATAGATCAGACGCGCTTAGCGATCCAGGGCAGAAACTTCGATTCCTAGTCGAACGCCGACAGGGTAATAAAGATAAGGAGAGATCTTGGTCAGCTCGCCGACTAGCATAGGCCAGCATCTACAGAAGCCATTTCCTTGGCCCATACAATCGAGATAACGATGGATACCCTCCTTGGCCCTAAGTCTGAGGGCCGGGTGTTCACTTGGCCCCTTAAGGTTCTCAAGTCCTCTAAAGGACATAACTGCGAGTCTATAGCATTTCATATCAAATAGCATGCTAGAAAATAGAGAGCCTACTCTGACGAGATCGAAGCAGCGCTTTCGTTATAGCTATACTCCGTCGACGAGTGCGAGAACAAAGTTCAATAGGCAAAGGAAAAAGAGCAAAAAGAGTCCCCGAACGATAAAAGCGCCAGGGAGACCGAAAGTAAAGACGGGGAAGAAAGGCCCAAAGACGACGCGTAGTTGCGGAAAGGGACGTCAGCAAAGCCTAGCCTCCGACTTCTAGGCTCGCACACGGCCGCTCTGCGGCAAGACCTTCGGTAGTAGATGCCTAATAGTGCTGCGCAAGTCATCGAAGTTAAGGAACATAAATCGGCAAATAACAGCAATACAATCGGGGTAGAAGCCCATCGAATTATGGGATACACATCCAACTTAAAACTTCGCACAGGCAGATATAAGGCCTAGAACCCTCCAAAATCCTCCGGCGAAGATACTCCCGACCATCAGGCCCATGAAGGGAGCACTACGAATATGATCTTAGCGGCCAAGTCATTCAGCCTCTTGAAAAAATTATTCGCCCAGCACATGTTCTCCGCCTTCATATAGGCTGCGGCGAAGACGATAAAGCAAATCGAGGACAAAGCAGATATACGGCCTGCACAGAGGGACGGCATAAGTAATCAGCCTACATAGCAATCGATTACACTACACAGTACCCGGCTCTCCAAACTAGCCTAAGACATCCAAAGCACTAGACTTAGCAGCCTAGAAGATATCTACCTAGGCATCATCCCACCGCTCAGCAGAGAAAATAAGCTACCACGGGCCAATGCCATCATTAAATAGGCGCGAGAACATACCAAGCCACATAAGGAGCTAAGGCACTGGAAAGAGGCCGCCGATACGTACTTGTGGCTCTTTCGAACCGCGAAGATGTTCTCAAGACGGGCTAGCATTACCACCAAGGCCATTGCGCTCTTAATAGAGTACTTGAGGGCACTCGCCGATGCTATCAAGCTAAGGAAAGCCCAGCAGTTTAAAGAAAGAGACATCCAAGAGCTAGAGCAGCTCCAATCAGAACTTGATAACAAGCTGCGAAACGCTGGTATTAAAGGTGCAGAGCCGCTCTTGGCAATGCTCCCTTATGAAAAGTTCCAAGCCTCTAGGAGACAAAGAGGATATACTCAACTTCACGCGCCTACATTAGGTGGCTCACGAGAACCGGGACTTTGATATCGAACCAAACCTAAAAGCAAGCAATATAGGAATGAATAACAAAGACATCCTCGACTAGACACCACTCCACTACGCAGCCGCGAGACCATCCATTGACGCCTTGCGAAAGCTACTAACCAATCGAGCTAATATCAACGCACGAGACATCCGTGGGCAAACACCATTACACTATACTTGCCGGCATAGTGACGCCCAGGTCATGCAGAGTCTCCTACGAGAAGGCGCAGCGATCAACATACAGGACATAGATAGAATAGCACCGATACATCACGCAGCAATACATGGCCACCGTCCTGCGATACAATCGTTGATTAAGGCAGGGACGGACGTCAACCTCGTGGATGCCTTAGGAAATACTCCGCTTTTCTGGGCTACATACAAGGGGCATAGTGACCTAGTCAAGGACCTCCGGAAGGATTCGAACATAAGACTGCGCGACCACAATGGCAGGACTCCTTTGCACATAGCGGCGATAGCGGAAGTAGATGGTCCGAGAAGGGAAAAGGTGGTCGCGCTGCTGCTCGACATAGACGCCGCCAAAGAGGAGAAGGACAAGTTCAACGCCGCCAAGGACAGGTTCGGCCGGCACCGGGAGGTAATAGCGCTACTACTCAATAAGGGCGCTGACCTCGAGGCCTAAGATAGCGACGGCTAGATACTACTCTATTTCGCTATTATATATAAGCACCAGGAGGTAATAGCGCTACTACTTAATAAGGGCGCTAATATTAAGGCCTAAGATAGCTATAGCTAGACGCCGCTTTATTTCGCTATTATATATAGGCACCGGGAGTATTATAGCCTAACCTATACCCGTTATATATATTAGCGGGACCTTATAATTCCTTATTAATTAAATAAGTAATTACTCTTAATACTAAGTAATTATAATAATTACTTATATAATTACCTTAATTACTTAAGTAATTACCTTAATTAAGATTAAAAGTAAAATAATTATAATTAATACCTAAAATATATAAAATATATTTATTATATTTTTTTATATAATAATTACCTTAGCTATTAATATAACTTAATTATACTTAATACCTTTAAATATATTATTAGATATAAGTTATATTACCCTTTAAGGTTATATAATATTCTCCTCTATTAATATAAATTAATATAACTAATTTATCTCTTAGGAACCTTATAATTATTATATATTAATAGCTCTTATTTAGAGGATTATTTATATTACCTTAAATAATATTAAATATAATAATTACTTAGGCTACTCTTAATAATAATTATTAATAAGTCTTACTTATTAATTACTTATTTATTCTTATTATATTAGCTTAAGCTAACCCTAATAATAATAAAGAAATAAATAATAATAATAAAAAAATTAAATAACTCTAAGCCTAGGTTATTATAATAATTATTAAAATAAATAAGCTTAGAGGACTTATTAATTATATAGCTATTAGCTAATAAGCTTAGAATTAATAATACTAAGATAATATCTAGCTTATGAAAAATATAGCTATTATAGCTATAAAAGGTAAAGATATTAAAGAAATCTTAAAGCTAAAATTATTAAAGAAATTTAATAATATTATATATAAATTATTTACCTTTTTTATATAATTATATACCTTTATAATATATTACTTAACTTAATTTATATTAGAGCCTAATTATATCTAATATATTATAAGATAACTTATTAAGTATATTACTATAGAGTTTAAACCTAATATAAAGGAATACCTTAATACTCTTTTTATTTAATTCTTATTTTATATCTATAAATTCTATACTAATTATATTAAATTTAAAGCTATTTTATAATAAGCCTTTAAAATTATTAATAAAAAGATATAAATAAAATAAGAAATTAAGGTATTTAATAAAACTTAATTTACCTTAAAATATAATATAAAATATCTTTAATTTACCTTAAAGCTAAGATAAGATTAATAATTACTTATATTATTTTTCTTTAATAAATTTAAAAAGAAATATAAGCTAAATTATATAAAAAAAACTAATTAGATAACCTTATTAATTATATTAAATAAGTAATTAAAATTAATACTTAATAATTCTATTAAAAGAAATTTTAAAACCTTTATAATAATAAAAAAAGCTATTAAAGACCTTAATTTAATATTAATTAAGGATAACCCTAATAAACTAATATATCTTATAGAACTTATATAAGACCTATAAAACTTAAAATAACTTTATAAAAGAATATAATTATTATAGATTTAAATATTAATATTATTATAAGATAAATTATATTAAGAAGATTTATTATAAGAAGTAATATAATATTAAGGAGGGTTATTATTAATTATAATAATAATAATTCCTTAAAGATAAGAAATAAATAAGATTTATATAAGCTAATAATAAACTATAGATTATAATTTAAATTATAAAAACCCTTAATATAATATAAATAAAATATAATAATATTAACTTAAAATTAAGAGAAATTATTATGCCTTATAATTAAATATATCTTATTAAGAAATAATTTAAATATAATAATTATTTTTAGCTAAAATTATAATATATTATAATAAAACCCCTAAGGGTAAAATAATTTTATTTTATAAATAAATTAAAATAAAAGCTATTATTAATATTAATTAATAAACTTAATAAAGACCTTAATATTAAAAGTATTATAATAATAAAATATAATAAATAATATAATAAAGATCTTAATTATAGCGCTAAAGCTAAAACCTAATAATAATTAATAATAGCTTGGATTTATAATTAATAAAACCTTAAGATAAATAATAACTTATAAAAGAAAGAATATTACTTATAATTCTATAATAAATAAACAAATTAATATTAAAATATATTATAAGAGTAATATATTTAGATTACTTAAAAATATATAAATACTATTAATATATAAGAATTATATATTTAAGTATATTATTAAATAATAATTAAAGACTTAAAATACCTAGAAATATTATATAATCTATAAGATAATATATAAATATACTTAATATATAAGAAATATCTTTATAATTTATAGATATTATATTAATATTATTAATATAAAAAAGAAAAAAAGAATTATTTTTTAATCTTTTTATTATATTAATTAAATAATAAACCTTACTTATAATATAAGATAAAAAGATATTAGGTTTTTTATTAATATAATTTTATTAATATTATAAGTATATAATAAAATTAAGACATTTATATAATAATATAAAAAAAGAAATAAAATAATTATAAGATTAAAAAATAATAAAAATAAATCCTTAAAATAATATAAGAAAATAAAAAAGCTTAAAAAATAATAAATTAAAAAAAAAATAAATTAGATATAAAAAATATCTCT